TTGCACTCACCAACAAACCACTCACCCCCAACTCACTCACTGGCTCTTCCAAAAACGGAAGATCATCAATCCATCAATAAATTTCCCAATTTGCATAAATTCATTTATTTCCAACAAAATTAGCAAAAATAGCTTTCCTCTTCATCACCACCGCCTTCTTCTTCTACCTCGTCCTCTCTCTCACTCTTGCTGCGTGCTTTTTCGTCGTCTCTCTCGCTCCCCCAACCGCCGCTGCTTCGGCGCTTCCTCAAATGGCGACCATGGAGGGCTTGATAGGCCTCGTCAATCGAATTCAGAGGGCCTGCACGGTCCTCGGTGACTATGGCGGGGACTCTGCTTTGCCTACTCTCTGGGAGTCTCTTCCTTCCGTTGCCGTCGTCGGAGGCCAGGTCTCTCTCTCGTCTCTCTACGCACTCGCTCAGTCGTTTTTTGTTGTTGTTGTTTGGCTATGTGAAGTTGGAGTGATGTGTTTGGTTGTGGATGCAGAGCTCTGGAAAATCGTCGGTGTTAGAGAGCATTGTTGGGCGTGATTTTCTTCCGAGAGGATCAGGTTAGGTTTATGCCTTGGTGAATCGTATATTTGCTTTCTGATTATTGATTTTCAATTTTTCGCTGTTTGGCTCTTGAGAAAGCGGAGGAAAGAAAACGAAAAGGAAAACAAAATAATATTAAAACAAGTCAACTACTTTTCTTCAACTTAGGGGAGTAATAGTCAACTGAGTCAAAGTAAGCAATTTAAAATTGCTTAAATTATGGTTTAAATTTAGCTTTTGATTAGAATATCACACGGCCACTCTGAAGGTTTGCTCTGCTGATTGTTAATTTTCAATTTTGCGCTTTTTGGGTCTTGAGAAAGCAGAGGCAAGAAAATGAAACAAAAAATAAAATGTTAAAAGAAAAGTCAGGTATTTCTCAACATAAGAAAAAATAAAAGTCAACGAAGTGAAACTAAGGAATTTAAAATTACTTGTTTGATATTTGAATTTGTTTTTTCGTTAGAATTTCAAAACTAATTTATGCTTTGCTTTGCTCCCTCTTCGTTGTCAAGTACATGAAGCTGTTATGTTCTTTGGTTTGCAGGGATTGTGACGAGAAGACCATTGGTCTTGCAGCTGCATAAGACAGAACAGGGGATGCAGGAGTATGCTGAGTTCCTCCACCTGGAAAAGAAAAGATTCACTGATTTCTGTATGTTATTTGTTGTCCAGATATGCTATGGATGGAGCTCCTGTTAATGTTATATTTCTGTTTGCTATGGATGGAGCTCCTGTTATGACCACACATTTAGGCTCCTAGTTTGAGTAGCGTTTTGGGACCATTTCCTACGTGTAATTCAAATAGTAGATTGTCATGGAAAAAAGAAGAAGGGTGTTTGTTAACTCGGTATGAGTGATAAAACAAGAACTTGATTATCTACAGGAAGATACTAACATCATGCCAATGACCAATTTTGTTACATTACTTGTACTTTTGAATAGCCTCTTATCATGTTTTATCTTTTCTATTTGGTTAATTTTGCATTTGAATCGCTTAATGCTTGAACATGTATTCTAAAATTAATGGAGCTATCAAATTTAGAAAAACTGTGCAATTGTTTGCCCTTTTCGTACGGTTTGAAATAAAAGTTGATATTATATTCAGTTGTTTATTTCTTATTTTCTTAAACAGCTGTGATTCGGAAGGAAATTCAGGATGAAACTGACAGAATCACTGGGAGGTCGAAACAGATTTCTCATGTTCCTATTCATCTCAGTATCTACTCCCCTAATGGTAACATGTTATATATTTGATTAGATGTGATTATGAAGCACTATTATATTCTTTGTTCTGTTTTGGTGCATGTTATCTATTGGCAGCATCATTTGAGATTACAGATATAGAGTGTATTTTTTATATATATATTAACAGAATTTTCATTCTGTTTGATGAGTATGACTTATACTAGGTGAAAAGTGTGACTTTGATATCCTAAATTGTGCAAGGCCAAGAAGAATTTTTTTATTTTCCTTGATAAATGAAAGTGTTTCATTATTGCTCTGTAATTCATTCTGCTATCTGACAATCACAGCTTATCTTTTTGGCAGTTGTCAATCTAACATTGATAGATTTGCCTGGTTTAACCAAGGTTGCTGTAGGTATACTTTTGTACTTATTGCCATTGATTCCAAATTAAAATGGTGGTTTTGATGTTATATATTTTTTATTTATTGAATATCTAATTGTAAATGTTTCTTATTGACAGAGGGGCAGCCAGAGAGTATTGTTCAAGACATTGAAAACATGGTTCGTTCTTTTATTGAGAAGGTAATGCAGAGTTTCTTTTCTTTTCCATTGTATATTTCGCTATTTATGCAATTAGAATACTATCTTAGAACAATGGAAAGTTCAGAGTCAGAAACTGCGTCAGCCGCTGTCATGTCTTTTCTGTCGAGTAATTTAATAATAATTCCTGCTTAGCACAGTAAGCATGTAATCAGTGCCATCTTTTAGCTTCGTTAAGTCCAGGTTTGAGTGGCAAATATATTTATCCTATAGTAAACTTGAATATTCCCTCTAACATTCTCAAATTTACAACAGATCATTGTCAAAGTTAACGTTTCTCAAACTTGTCGATTGAGTCCCTTATTTTGATGTGATGGAGCATTTGTATTTTCCAAAATTTTCTTCTCTCCAATCCTTTATTTTGCATTTATTAAAACAAGATGTATTCTGTAGTGATTTGTACCAATAGGTTAGATTTTTCTTGCATGTCTATGATGTAGCAATTATTTTATTTAATAAATTTCGTGGGTTATTTTTTACCATTTATCACAATTCTGGATAGACTTTTACCTTGAAGTTCTTTACAAGCTAAGTTTTGTTTTATTCTGTATTTTTTATGAATATATGCTCTTGGTTGCAGCCCAACTGCATCATCCTGGCAATAACTCCGGCCAATCAAGACATAGCAACATCTGATGCTATAAGGATCGCTAAACAAGTTGATCCTGCTGGTATCCTTCCTGAACAATTTTTCTATTTTATCATTCAACTCTATAACCTTGTATGGTCCATGTGTTATAAATACCATTTTCTGCTTCTATTTATGTACTGAGCTTCTACGTTTCTTTCATAGGTGAAAGGACATTTGGTGTGTTGACAAAGCTTGATTTAATGGATAAGGGAACAAATGCTTTGGATGTAAGACTTCTTGATTTTATTATGCTAAGCAGCTTGAATTATTGAATATCTGAGTGTTTAGCACTAGATAGTGGTCATTAATGTGTTGGGAGAGGGGTATGTTAGAACATATTTTGTACATAAGAGTAGTCTGATAAACTACTCTTTCACCGTAACGTTTTCTTTACATACCTTGAGTTAGGTTCTCGAAGGAAGGTCTTATCGGCTTCAACACCCTTGGGTTGGAATTGTGAACCGTTCACAAGTTGATATTAATAAAAACGTCGATATGATTGCTGCCAGGCGGAGGGAGCGCGAGTTTTTTTCCTCCAGTCCTGATTATGGACATTTGGCAAGCAAAATGGGGTCAGAATATCTTGCAAAACTTCTCTCAAAGGTTTTTCCTCTCACCTATGTATTAATGTTATGATAGCTCAATTTCTACATCTAATTTTCTTAGTTCTTAAATAGAAATTGTGGGTTAATATATAGTTTTTCATATGATTTCAGCATTTAGAGTCTGTAATTAAAGCTCGCATTCCAGGAATTGCATCTTTGGTCAACAAAAGCGTTGGTGAACTTGAAGCCGAGTTGGATTATCTTGGTAGACCTGTTGCTATTGATGCAGGGGTGAGGAACTTATGATCTATTCATTCATATTGGGATGTTATTTGGTTTAGGTTTATCCTCTGAAGTTAATTTGTACATATGTATCAGGCACAGTTATATACTATCTTAGAGTTGTGCCGGGCATTTGACCGGATATTCAAGGAGCATTTGGATGGAGGGTAAGACATCCTTTTTTCTTTACTTAACAAATATAAATAGGACGTGTTTAATGTTTTATTTGTGGCCAAATATGATATAATCTTCACAATCCATTTGTGATTGAACACATGTGGACCTGTTCAAAGGATTTCTTTCTTTGATTCTAATGCTCTTTTGGTTTTGTGTTATGTTTTCATTAGACTGAAAGTTCTGAATTCACGAGTTCTTTATGGCTGGGTGGCTCTTAGAAAGCCTGTCAAATTGAAGCAGCAAATTTCAATATGATAACCCCGGTTTCGCAATATTATGTTGCATGAAAAAAGTAGATAACAAAATTATACTGTTTCTGCAGACGACCTGGTGGCGATCGGATATTTGCAGTATTTGACCACCAGCTCCCTGTTGCTCTGAAGAGGCTGCCTTTTGACCGTCATCTTTCACTTCAAAATGTAAGGAAGGTGGTTTCAGAGGCGGATGGATACCAACCTCATCTAATTGCACCGGAGCAAGGTTATCGGCGCCTCATTGACAGTTCACTTAATTATTTCAGAGGCCCATCTGAAGCTTCTGTAGATGCCGTAAGTGTTCACCATTCAGTTTTCTTGTCCTCGGTGGGGTAGTTTCCTAGGGTTTATTAGTGCCTAACTAGCTATATAGCGTAGGTTTTGTTTCTGCAGCCATTACAAACAGAATTGATTTCAATTTTGTGCACTTGGACAATTAACCAGTTATTGAACTGCAGAATTTTGTTTTCTTAATCAGTAATCCAATACTGCAGGTTCACTTTATTTTGAAGGAAATTGTAAGAAGGTCAATTGCAGAAACTCAGGTTCAAAGTTGTTATCCATACACTTCATTTCACAGTATTAATGGTCTTAATAATGGGGAAAGTTATAGGTTATATTTTGGAATGAAACAGGAGTTGAAACGCTTTCCAACTCTTCAAGCGGAATTGGCAGCAGCTGCCAATGAAGCGTTGGAGAGGTTTCGTGAAGACAGCAAGAAGACGACTTTGCGTTTGGTGGACATGGAATCCTCTTATCTGACTGTGGATTTCTTTCGGAAACTCCCTCAAGACGCGGAGAAGGTGGGAGGAAATCCATCTGCTGCTTCCGATGATCGATATGCAGAGGGCCACTTCCGCAGGATAGGATCCAATGTTTCCTCCTATGTAGGGATGGTGTCAGAGACGCTTAAGAATTCTATCCCGAAGGCTGTTGTTCATTGTCAAGTGAGGGAGGCTAAGCGGTCTTTGCTCGATAACTTCTATATCCAATTGGGCAAAATGGAGGTAATCTGGCAAACTGTCTCTCTCTCTCTCAAATACATTTACATATACACACAGATGCATAGACATACTTGTGTATATGAATCAGAACAAAAAAATTGATGATGTTTGGCTGATTGAGTTTTGTTATTTCCTGTAGGGAAGGCAGCTTGCACAATTGCTGGGTGAGAATCCCGAAGTGATGGAAAGGAGGCAACAATGTGCCAAGAGGCTTGAATTGTACAAGTCTGCAAGGGATGAGATTGACTCAGTCTCATGGTCCTGATGAAATTAAACACGAATGAATTTTTCGTATTCTTTTTTAGGATAAGTAATCATGAATACAATCAAGTATAGTTGTTTCTGGTACAATAAATATATATATATATATATATATATATTCAATTAAACAGAAGCAATTTGAAGGTAATTCTCAAGGTTTTGGGATCTGGTGAACAAAATGGTTACTTACTGGTACTTCTCTCCACTTTCTTAGCAGAAATGCCCTGTTCAAGTCCCTCTACCGAGATTAAAAATAAAGTAATTATATTTTGATCCTTTTAAAATAATGGCACTCTAGGGCATTATCACCATGGTGGACTCCACTTATTAATCGTGCGGGTTTGGGTTTGGGTCATGTTTTTTTCCATGCGGGTTTCAAGTCGTGTAACAGGTCGTATTGGGAATTACCACTCCTACAGTAGATGCTCGTAGGGTACAAGGATTCTTGAACTTCACTCACCCTAAAAGGTAAACTTAGTGTACTTTAGTGTACTTAACTCACCCTAAAAAGTAAACTTAGGAGGCTAACAAAAGAAAACAGGTAGGATATAGAATACATGTAACGATAGATATCATAAGAATTATTCTTATTAAAGTATAGGGCCTTGAAGTTGCTCGGTCTACACTCCACATAGAATATTTGTTTTTGAAAGAAAGTAGGTGCTTCATCTATTAACTGAAACAAGGATGATAGCCTTCCAATATAACCTGTTAGCTGAACATACTGATATACACCAGTATGATGGCCTACGTAATGAATAGTTCAGAGCATGAGATGACATGGTAAAATGGCCCCAAATGAGTAGTTAGTGTTGTATTAACGTATTAATTCATTAGTGCTTGAGCAATCCTACTCTAGTAAGAGCTTGTTTGTCACGATTCGGACACGGGATATGGTAAAAGTCCTAAACCCAATGCGTGAAAATAAAGACTGCAACCTAAGGTTAAAATAAACTTCTCTTATAAAAATAGCTTTAAAAGCTTACAGTGTAACATAAATAGATAAAAATCTATCACAATCATCTAGTTCAACCTCATTTGGTTTAGTCCTTGTCTTGCCAACTAATTCCTTTGCAAAGTAAAAAAAGTGAGGGATGAGTAAACCACCGCTCGGTGAGTGGATTATGTCATGTGCCAATCAAGCAATGTTATTTTATACACTTCAAAAAATATCATGAAAAGCTACACCAAACCAGATTATATTATATCATTACTTCATACCTCGGTTATCCTTTATAGCATGTAACCTACAATGTGACCTCTGTTGGTCTCACTACCCTATGTTCTTGTCAGGTGCATACTTCACAAATAGTCCTAATAATATATATAGTGTGAAACACTGTGCCAAAATAGACATGCTTGACTTGAAATAGAGAGACATATTTATAAATAGAACATATCCATGATAATTCATAGTTTTCATATTTATTGTAATAATAACTTTTATAACACATTACATAAATCACTCACCTCGATAACGAGAAACTGGAAATAATTGATAAGACAACCCATCTACCAATCTCAACACCACCATCAAACACCAAGACTCTCAAGTGCTTTCTTTCTTCTCCTCCTGTCTCTAACTTTCTTTCTTATTCCTCATGTCAGAAACATGAAGGTTATGCTCTTATTAATAGTTGCTATAGTGATAGGATAAGAACATCCAAGTTTCTTAATATATATATATATATATAGCTCATAAGAAGATAAGATCGTTCAAATTTATGTAAAGGATAAATATTTTAAGAAGACAAGATCATCCATTTATCCAAAGTATAAATACAACAAAGTAGAGAGCTAGCTAGAGACAGAGAGAGCATCTCCATGGAAGGAGATAAAGCAAAGAGTTGCGTTCCATAAGCTCTTCTTGTTTGCTTATCGTTGGGACACTGTCCTGATGATAGTTGAGTCATTTTGTAAGATTATGCAAGTTTGTCCAAAGGGTAAAATTCCTTAAGAAGATAGGATCATCTAAGTTAATCCGAAAGGTAATATTAATATATATTCTTTTATCATTTTAAAATACGGGTCTTCACATTGTTGTAGGGGAAACAAAGAAGGTATGTATTTGTAAAAGTAAATTATTCATTTAGTTTTATTACAAATCCAATTTTTACCCATCCATGTTATCCTTGGCGTTTCTTATGATATTTCAAAGTTATTTACTTGTTTTTCTTTAACAACATCGATTGAGGTACATCACCAACTAGCTGTTAGTCTAATTTTCTTTCAAAGAAATAGTACTATATCAAAGGAGCAGAGTTCTAATCTCCACAATTGAAAACATCTAACATAAGAATATATTTTTATGTGCAAATTATATATGTGGGTGACGCGGTTGCGAAACGAGCGAAACGAGCAAGAAACCCTACTGCTAACTGAATTACCTTATCCATATACTCTTCCCACATACCTACCACAAAATTGTACAAGGAAATAACGCTTACTAGGTAAAAATGGTTGCTCTTCCTCTCCTTGGGTTGATAAGATTAATTTGTATGCTCGTCGATATATTTGGTAAGAATAATCATCTATATGATAGAACTTGAATACGGTCCATATGTTTTTTGGCAAATAAGGTGACAAAAATCGTATCACAAACACACCCACACACGTCCAAATATATTTGTAAGCATTTGTTGGGTTTGGTTCTTCTGTTTGTACCCATTCAATGCAAGATATCAACGTCCTAAGAACAAATAAAGGATACATCATGCGTTTCTGTAATCAAGTTCATGCTCAATCCCCTTGATATGTTTTTCTGTATACAATACAATGTATTGATATTAAATTTTGGATTTCTCCTATTATAGCAAAGCTTCCATTTATTTTTAATTGTGAAAAAGTTAACATATTATATTGCCACATATACACATATAAATATAGAGATTTATATGAACATTTTATTGGGTTGTCTTGTGCTCATTACTGAACTATCACTGAGCTCTAGAGCAAACCAACACAAAACACAAAACAAAATTTTGTCGCTGTTTGAAGGACAAACAAGGTGAGCTCCTTGAACGGTTGATAACGCAGAGCTCTACTTTGACAGAGCCAGCCACCATTATTTTTGGGTACGTATAGTGTTTTTTACACTCCAATTTTCTACTCGTGTACTATTATTTTGATTTTGTTCCTTGATTATTCTGTTTCGATTTATTCAATCTTTAGGCTACGAAAAAGAGAGAGAATGTATTTTACTTATACGAAGCATATTTCTTCTTCTTACCACTCGAGCTATAAGTATCCTTTGCTTGCACTCATCAAAATTTTGAAGCTTGTCATGTCAGATCTCATCCACCACAGAATTAGGGTATTTTGGAATGTATTATATGCGGATGCAGAGAGCGAAAATTTTGAAATTTCTTTGGGCCTTGTGAACAATCAAAGTTTTTTTTAGTGCATTGGCACCTTTTTTTGTTTTTATTTTTGTTTTTTTCATAGGGTTTCTAGCATTCTTTATTTTTTTTTCCCTGAAAAATTGTCATTTCATTAACTCAATAAAATGAATAACAACAAAATTGCCTCGTTAAAACCTTCCTGAAGAAAAATACGTGGGATAAAGTTTTGTGGTAGGAAAGAGTACCACACATGTCAATTAGAATGCGACAACAAAACTAAAGATAAATACAATCACTGTGCACAATCTAAAAGCCATGGCAGACCCAACTCCATCCAGTATGAAAGATCCCGTTCACGAAGACCATAGTTTGCAATTCTATGAGCCACTGTATTAGCTTGGCGGGGTATATAGCAAACAATAACAATTGGCGGCCTCTGTTGCAAAAGCATTCAAATTTCCTCCACCAATTCCCCTTCAGGAGCTAAACAGTCTTCCTCCCCATTAATCATGAGGACTGTGTTCAGACAATCGGATTCTATAATCAAAGGCAGAAAAGACGCATCCAGTGCAAAAAATAAACCATTTTTCAGTGCATATAGTTCTGTGACAAGGATTGAGACCACGCTAACCTTCCTTCACATTAACAGCTCCGTCAACATTTAGTTTGTAGGATCCATCAGGAGGTCGTTGCCATCGAATACTGTCAGTTTGCAAGGAGGGACTCCTACAATGTAAACTTGCAGCTGCTGTAAATTCGGCAATGTTTGATCAGACCCAAATAAAATTCCATTGCGTTCATTTCACGGTAAAAAATACTAATTTTGTTTGTTTGTTTTGTTTTATCGTTTCAGGAAAAGCAGGTAGGTCTTTGGTGTCAGCAGCAGCTATGGAATTTGTGCATGCCAATGGTCCTTTCCACAACAAGACCAAGGTTATTTTTGTATTGGGCTCGACCGGGTGTGGAAAAACAAAACTCTCCATAGACTTAGCCACTCGTTACAACGGTGAAATAATCAACTCCGACAAAATCCAAGTCTACGAAGGCCTTGACATTGTGACCAACAAAGCTACAAAGCCCGAGCAAAGAGGCATCCTCCATCACCTGCTAGGGTCCATCCAAGACCCGGAAGCTGATTTCACGGTGCAGGACTTTTGTCTTCAAGTGCCCAAAGCCCTGGATGATATCACGAAGCGCAACCGCGTCCCAATCATTGCTGGTGGATCCAACACTTACATCGAGGCGCTTGTCGAAGATCCAACGCTCAGGTTCCAAGATAAATATGACTGCTGCTTCATATGGCTTGATGTGTCTTTGCCTGTGCTCTATAATCGTGTCTCTGAAAGAGTGGATGAAATGGTGGATGCTGGGCTTGTGGATGAGCTCCGGGAAATGTTTGTTCCCGGGGCAGATTATGAGCGCGGCATTCGTCGGGCTATTGGAGCTCCTGAGATGCATGCATATTTCATGGCTGAAATGGATCATTCAGCAGATGAGGCCAGAAAGGAATTTCTGTTCAAAGATGGGATTCAAAAAACTAAGGACAATACTTTGAAACTTGCTGAGAGCCAGGTGCAGAAAATTGAACGTCTCAGGACCAAATGGGATATCCATCGGATTGATGTGACTGCCGTGCATGAGAGCTGTGGAAAGAAGGCTGTGGTTGCATGGGAAAACTTGGTTTTAAAGCCAAGCTTCTCCATTGTGAGTGAATTTTTGGAAATGGATGGCTAAATTGTTGGAGCAGAAAATTAGGGTTTCCGATTCTCTGGCTTGCATTCAAGGACCTGCTCGTACCGAATTACTACATAGAAAATATATTTTTTTATGTGTAATTCTTTTTAATCATTTTGAGGAACGTATTGGTTAAGCCAGTACTTCATATATGGTAATATTTATTTCGGCTTTAGCAGTGCTTTTTCTTCTTTTGTTTTGTTTTGTTTGTTTTAATTTATACAAGTGATCTTTTATTTTAGTTTAATCAAAACTATGAGTATTGGGATTTGAACTCGGGTAGAGATTGAGAGCACCTCCACTCTATATATTTAAGTAGCAGCTCAGTCCATATTTTAGTAATTGCTCATCTCATCCACCTAATCATTCTATATGCCATTGGACAACAACAACAAAAACAAAAAACCAAAAAACAAAAAGATAATGAGGTTCTGAGAGGCTTTTTTTTTAAAAAAAAAAAAAAATTAATTTATTTTAGAATTAAAAAAGATAATGGGTAGTTGTGTTCTATAAAAATAAGATTCATTATCTTATTTTTCTTTTAATTTTAATTTTTTTAATATGAAAAAGTGTGAATTTACCATATTATCCTCATTTAATTAATAATTTTAATTCTTAATATTTGGATTAACCAATGACAGTTTCTAGTATTTGAATGACTTTATATATATAGATACTATCTTAATTAAGTTGAAAAAAATAGTGTCGAATACGATGATCAAGGGCCGAACTAGGAATTTTTTAATAGGTGGGCTAGCTAAAATCTTTACGGTAAAATTTAATATATATATTTTTTGTACTTACATTTTCTATAGCCTTTTAGAAATAAAAATATATATTAATTCATATAAAACACACTAATTCATAGCTCCATTGACTAATTTTCATTAAATTTTAACATAAAACAAATACATATTAAATTCAACAAGAAAACTGATATTATCAAAATGAAAATGTGGTTAACAACAAAATTGAAAATATACCTATTTTACTATGTATTTTTATAGATTCCATGCAATTAAATTCTTAGAGAATTTGTGTTTTTTGTATTTTAATAGATTAATACATATTGGGCTATATTTTAAACAAGTCAAATATATGGGTCTGATTTTTTTTCCATCCAAAAACATCCCTGAGCTACAGCCCAAGTTAACCTTTAACTTGGTTCTGCCCCCGACGATGATAAAAAAATGTTTACACATATTATATACCATGAGATTTATAAGGAAGTTTTGCTGTGTTCAGTGTTTTAATTTCTCATAAATAATGGCAAGATCATTGAACTTCAAAAATTAAGAACCAAAAAAAAGTTTTTTTTTATGCAATATATTAATGTTGGCAATCAGATTCTTGTTTAATGCTCATATATTTTGCTTTTATGCAATATAAAATTATCCATGATAAAAATAGCCATGTGTGCATGCATTGCATTGAGACTTGATATTGGATTCACCATTAATAAGCTTCCATATGTTTCGCTTCAAATAAAATAGAGTTATTTATATTAAAACTTCTTGAGGTTTTCAGTGTTTTCACAAAATTCTCTGAGGTTTTGAAAATTACACAAACACCCCCTTAGGCCTTTAAGTGTTTTCACAAAACCCATTTCCATTGATTTTTCGTCCAAAGATTGATGATTTTATATAAAAATATTCTTCAAATGACAAAGTTAGTATTTGAGATTAAATTGCACATACATTTGTTGAGGTTAATTTTGTTATTTGCAAAAGTTTTTATGTATGGAATCATCAGATTTTGGATGAAGAATCAATGAAAGGGGATTTTGTAAAAGCAAATTGAAACCTCATGGAGTGTTCATGTAAGTTTTAAAATCTCAATGGATTTTGTGAAAACACCAAAAACTTCAAGGGGTGTTTATATAAATACCTCAATAAAATAATAAACCAAACTGTAAAATAAAGAAGCACGAGCAACACCAAGCAGTAACGAGATTCGGCAATTTGTCCACGTACTAGGTGATCATTCAAATAAATTTCAGCCCAATTATTTGTCTGGCCTTCCATCAGAAAAATAAATGAGCTTTGTTGTCACCAGTTTGGCCCAAACTACGAACTTTTAATCACCAATTTTGAAGTGGGTTTCAAGGTTAGTTGTCCTACGCAAGGGAATACTACTGTAAGTTTAAGGCTTAAGCACACATTTTCAATTACTAAAATTGTTTGTTTTGCGCAAGTTTTGTTTTTGTTTTTGTTTTTTTATATACCTAAACTAAATAACAATAATTATAATGTATGTAAATCATGTATATCATGATAATGATATCGTTAATGATGTGTTATTACATTCTAGGATCCGAATTCTCTGCTATGATTTTGTCAACCATAATCTGCTTAACTTTCATCCTCCATAAAACATCCAAAAGACTGAAAGGTTATAATGTTTTCAATATTGGAGACGTCAACCAAATAGTGGACGACCTAAATATTTAGTGATATTAAGTTTACTATCATGTCATTTATGCATTTTGCATATATACTTCGTCGAACGGAGATGTTATGGCCATTTGCCATGAAGCCACAGTCCATAGCTAGGGCGGGACCATGAATTCTTTGTTCTTCTTTTTTAAATCCAATGAAAATACTGAGAGATGATAAAATAATTTCCTAAAAAGAACAAAACTTAAGGGCCTAACTAAGAAATGTTTGGTTAATCTCCCTTTCAAAACTTCATTGGAATTGTAAACAAAGCCAAAAGTACTGGACATGATATAATTCCCAAGGGCACAAAGCTTATTATCAGAAAGAAATCATTCTAATGTTAGGTCCCATAAAATCTCGAATGCTCCAGCCTCTAACCAGATCAATGTCTTTGCCGTTCACTTTCTTACTGTGAAACAGAACACTTCATTTTCATAATCAAATTTATTCATTGATTGAGCAGTGAAATTATACATCCCAGAATTAGCAGCTATAGCTGGACCAAAATATACCCCAGCAACAGAATTATTTAAAGTAACCCTTTGAGTTTACAACTGCATTTGCAAATCATTTGCTTTAGTATAAGCTTAATTTTCTAATAATTTGATTGAGATAATAGATGTTTTAAGCTCCACTTGTAGCGCTACTGATACCACTCTTCTTATCAAGCTCTTCTAATGCTGCCCACAATTTTGAATCATTGTAATCCTTTATGAGAAAGGTCGGTTTTGCTTCAATTAGTATGTGTTCTGGATTTCCGGTGGTTAAACCAATAACTGGCATACCGGCTGCAACTCCAGCTTTAATCCCAGAGACAGAATCCTAGTAAAGCAAAAAACAAGAACAGAAAATAAGTTCCCAAAGTTCCAGTAAATGATTTTTTCTCAAAACGTGACATGAGAAGAGGCAGACCTCAAACACAAAAGTGTGATCTTTTGATACGTTGAGTATTTCAAGGGCCTTCAAGTAGGGCTCTGGGTGTGGCTTGGCATGCTCGCACTCGTTCCCAATAATAAGAGCTTGAAAAAAATCTGTGAGGCCAAGTATTGAGAGCATTAGCTCAGCATTTGGTCTTGGAGCATTAGTAACAGCAGCCCGTTTCAGCCCACGATCTTCAACCCATTTCTTCACTTTATAAATGCCATTCACAGGCTTCAGTTGTTCTGTGGCCAATCTGTTTCCATCGGAGAAATGATATAAGGTGGGAACCAGAAAGGAATTCCAAGTCTAGAGAAGGTGAAGTTTTTACCTACGAAACATGGCTTCCTTGTCCTCAGTGAACTTTAAGCCTCTTTCGAAGTCATCAGGAAAGAGTATCCTAGCAACATCATCATTATGCTTCCCAGCAAAATTCTCAATATAGTACTCCTCAGTGATTGGAACCCCTCCATTGAAACCTATCTGTTAATTTTATGCAATTCAGTTAATCATCAACCTTCACAGGTCAGAGATTCTTTAAATTCGTACTAAATTGCAAACTTCCTTCATGCACCTTTTCATTGTAAATATGATTACAGTTCACCTTTTCATTGTATGTATAATTACAGTTCAGAGTTATAAATTTTATAAAAAGAATGAGCACTTTCATTAAGTGGTTGAAGTCCTCTGCAATTTTTATGGTGTGATATGAGGATAGCTAAAAATAGGTCAAATTATGACCAGATAAATCCTACATATTTTCCTTATGATAGAATAGTAGGAAACAAAACAATCACTTTACCTCTGGAAGCATTTCACGGAAGGCATAGAAATGAATGGGATCTGAATCACACAGAGTTCCATCAATATCAAATAGTACTGCTTCAAGTGGGGCGAGTCCAGAGAGTGAACTTTTGCTGGTTCCACAGACACATCACAGAAAAAAAAGAAGGTAATAAGGCATTTATACAATAAAAAAATGAAACCAAAAAATACAAATGTTAGACAATCCCTTCTGTTTTCTGTAGTATATAATGAGCAAAACACTAATTTACACACGAAAATTCTCACACCTATACAAAAATGTTGTGCACAGCAATTTCTTCAGTGTAACAATGCCTGGTTGAGTTAGGTTAGTCGATATTACCTACTTTCTGTGAAAATAAAAGTCTCTACTGTCTCCATATATGGAGTAAAGAGATAATAGAATTCTTATTTTCATAATATTTATTGTTTTGATCCGGTAAGCTATAGTCTTTTAACATGTTTTCTTTTGGCAAAAACATCAGCAGGCTATCGGACTTAATGATTCAGTATTAACGCTAAAGTTGACAGTAGATCAAAATGGACCTAAAAGACAATGGCAACTTCAGCGGTTTGGAGAGAAAGAACCAAAATTGGCTGCGCAAGCCAAATCATGCCAGAGAAACAAAGGCATAATAAGAAAGGGTAATACGCATAAAAAGCGGGTACAATCTATGCAAAATTAACAATTAGTGGAGAGAACAATGACATGGAAGTGAAAATATGCAGAATATATGTCTGTGTGTGTGACTGTATGATTACGGAAATAGACCTGTTACAGCTAAAACTACTGAATAGGACAATAGAAAATAGCTCAACATTCCACTTAACATTAAAATT